AAACAAATGCAAAACAATCAACTTAACTACAGCCAGTGCAACAGGGTATAGAATTAACAATAAGTTTGATACACATGATAGTTACTAAAAAAACAGTTTTATGTAAATTATAATAAAGTAAAAATTTAACAAATAAGTCAAATTTTATTTAAAAAAAAAATCCGGATGAAATAATGCAATACCACTGTATTAAAACACATGAAACATACCACAAATTCACATAAATATTACTACAAAATCCAGTGACGATTACTAAACAATTCACGTAACTTTTAAGTGAAGCTAATTTGACAATCATCGGAACGGCCGATAAAATTTACGTAAAAATCACTTGATTTTCATATGAATCACTTGAAACAGCATTTCATTCCCAAAACATGTAATATTCACCTGAAAAGTATGATGGAAAATATCTACGTACCTTTTCAGGTGAATATTACGTGAATTGTATTTGCAGTGTAGGGTTCAGGTGTGTGTAGCATTGATGCTCAGCACGGAAAACAAGATCGACGGAAAATAAATCCAAGAAAAAAAGGAGGATTTTATGTGGTCGTTGGGGGCGTATGGTTCTGAATTGGCAGCAAAATGTTCCGCAATTGCATCCTCCCTATTCGTACACGCCCGAAGATCGGAGGCGAATGTCACTTCGACTTGTTTCATCTAGGAACCATTCTCTGATGACTGTGTTGGAGAAGCAGCATATGCATATACGTAATTGGTGGATTTGTTAGTTATGTCGAAACTTTTGGATAATGCTTGAAATTTACCACTTTTTCAATAGTTTCAATTTGATAATCAACAGTCAAAAGCATTGTTATCGCTGCGTAGAAATGTTTCTGATCGATTGGTGATAATTTATTTGAAATTAATCATTTTGTCAAGCTTCTGCATTCATGTTCCATCAGATGTCACTGCTCTTGTTTGCGGTGACATCTATCGGAAACTAGACACAATCTGTTTTCCTATAATTGTTCACAGAGGACACTGCAGTGCAAAACATGTCTGGTACCTCTATATATGCATTTAGATTATTATTCGAAGTTCCTCTGTTGGGAACGCGACGAATTAATTAGTTCTATTCAAAATAATGATTATTGTTTTCACCTCTCTTTGAAATAAAAATAATAAACATATCACCAGCTAGGCGCAGGCAACAAAAGCGCAAGCAATAAATATTTCTCTATGCGCATTACCTGGTAACTTTTAAAGAATGAAGTGATTACCTGCCTAGAAGAAGGAAATGTGTCGTAAATAAAGATTGTTGGAAAAACCCCAGAAGATGGAAATGTGCCATAGAAAAACATAGCAGAGAATTTACCTACGACACATTATACGAAGGACTAGATCACCCATTAGATTTTACCTGTTAAACTTTTTAGGTTTAAGATTAGCTATATAAGGAAAATGAATTGTTAAATAAAGTTAGTTCGTTGGTAAGGCTCAATCGGTCCATTTGTGAAGTCCGAACAATCCCTTTCGTAAGTGTTTTCATCAGGTATCGTTTCAATTCATTCGTCGAAGAAGCACAAGCCTACGTTTTAGTGAGGTCTTAGCCTTTGAGTTGAATTGAAGGTTGATCTTGATGCTAAGATACTTTTTTCAGTTTGTTAAAGTTTCTAATTATTCAGATATAGGAATAAGCTCTCACTTTGGTAGAGCAACTATCCTATAAGTTTAAAAGAACTTTAATATAATTGAGAATTGAAAGTTGTGTCTAAGCAATCCTGACGGATTGAGCGCACCATTAAAAACCGTTCGCCGCGAACGTCTATCCTTCGCGTTCATTTGTTCAATAAGTGCTGAACAAAGTTTTTCAAAGTCTTCGCGTCGCGAACATCCTCCTTTTTTACACATTCTGCACACAAAATAGCTCACCCCTCACAGAATTTCCCGCCGAATTTTATGTATGGGGCGGGGCATAAAGTATCTTTTGCGCAGAATATGTAAAAAAGGAGGGACTTCAAATGTTAAAGCAAATGCATATATAGAGGTACCAGACATGTTTTGTAGTGTCAGGTACTCTATTTTGTAATCTGTGAAAGGGAAATCACAAATCGAGTGTCAACAAAATACATGGCATGTTGAGAGATTGAGCTCGTGAGAGAGAATTTCTCTCTCAAATTTGAAATTTTTTGGCTCTCTGGGGACTGGTAGTAAAGCAGGTAAAATTGTATGGGGAAAAATCATTTTTATTTAATTGTAGCTTGTTTAGCATTAATTCCCGGGAAAAAAACTGAACGACAAAAGCCCCTGACTAATTTATTTAGGGTGTCGTTCACTTTTTTTGACCTGAATATGCACCGAAAGCGAATTATTCCCACTTCTCTCAATTTTTATATGGGGATTTTTATCACTTCCTACCAGCGGAACAGCGCCATCTCTGTGGAAAATGGACGAACAAAATGATTAATTGGTGCAGGGGTAGCTAAGTTATTAACGTTCAAAATCTTTCATAATTTCATTTGTCGGTTTTCATAAAGTGTACCCCCATCTTCCCGAAAGACGTAGTCCTACGTCAAAACTGGGATATTATATCAAATACACCACCCTATGAGTATTTTAGGAATCTTGGTGACGTGTAGGGACCGAAAACTAATGCCTTTTATTAATTCAGGATGGCGGCTTCCAGTTACATATAAATTGAAAAATGCTATGAAATACCCCTCAATACGGGTATTTTTGCAATCGTGGTGATGTGTAGAGACCAAAACTCCAGGACTGACGACATTTTGAATTCAATATGGTGGCTTTCCGTTAGAGGAAAACTTGGAAATTCTGTCCAATACCCCTCAATATGGGTATTTTTGAAATCGGAGTGACGTGTATGGACAAAAAATCTGCCTGTATGTTTCTGTTTTTCTGTAACCGGAAGCCACCATATTGAATTTCAAAATAGCATCAGACATGGTTGCGGACCCTACATGTCACCCCGATTGCAAAAATACTCATATTGTGGTGTATTTGACTGTGTTTCCAAGTTTTTCTTCTACCGGAAGCTACCATCTTGGATTTCAACATAGCGTCAGACATGAATTTCCAAACTCTACACGTCATCCCGATTCCAAAAATACCCATATTGTCGAGGGGACGACACATATAAATGTCAATTCTAGATGCTCAACATATTTCACACTAGAGAATCAATCTTCGAAAAAAATTCTTTCAATGCTCGCATTTACTTGCATCTACTCAGGGTGCGCGCAGCAAAATACAATTTTTCCTACATCGCAGATAGAGTCGCTCCTCTCGCATATTGTGGAGTATTTGACAGAATTTTAAAGTCATCAACCGGAAGCCACCATCTTAAATTTCATAATAGCCTCAGACATCGATTTCTGGACCCTACACGTCACCAAGATTCCAAAAATACTCGACTATGGGTAATTTAGCAGGAATTCCCAGTTTTTCTCCAACTGGAAGCCGCCATATTTCAAAATGGCGTCAGACATCAATTTTCAGTCCCTATACGTCACCCCAATTCTAAAATTATCCATATTGAGGGGTATTTGACAGAATTTTCAAGTTTTTCTCCAATCGAAAGCCATCTTGAATTTAGAAATGGCCTCAAATATCGATTTTCTGTTCCTACACGTCACCCGACTCCAAAAATATCAGTTTTGTGTATTTGACAGAATTTACAAGTTTTTCTCTAACCGGAAGCCGCCATCTTGAATTTCAAAATGGCCTCAGACATCGATGCGCGGTCCATACACGTCACTTCAATTCTAAAAATACTCATACTGTGGGTAATTTGGCAGTAATTACCAGTTTTTCTCCCACCGGAAGCCGCCATATTGAATTCAAAATGGAGTCAGACATCGATTTTGGTCCCTACAAGTCACCCCAATTCTAAAAATACCCATATTGAGGGGTATTTCACAGAATTTTCAAGTTTTTCTCCGACTGGAAGCCGCCACATGTTATTAAAAATGGCGTCAGACATGGGTTTCCTGCCCCTACACGTCACCTCGACTCCAAAAATACCTATATTGAGGAAGCCGAATTGGCTGGAAACAATAAAAAAGTTGATTGAAACAAATTTAGAAGTAATAAATTACCGAAAACTGCAACCATCGATTATATAACTCCAACGGTTTCCATCCAGTCGACTGCAGCGAAGGTTACGACTTTTGTCACTGAAATACGATTGTGAAAATAAGGTGAGAGTTCGTCGGGTTCATCCCAAGTGACTTTTCTCACCTCACTCGCCAGCTGGAATCGGGTGGCACGAGTGACTCGAGTCACCTCACCTTATTCGCCACGCAGAATAACCAAGAATAACCCTGTTCGTTTACTTACTTCCATATTCCTGCCGCCACTCACTCGAGGTGAGGGCTGGCTAAACTCGCAGGACAAGTGTGTTTAAAAACCTCCAGTGAGTTTGAGGAGTTTTAGCAAGCCTGATTATTACAAAACATTGGTATGGTCCGTTTTGTGGGATAGGTGGAGCACCTCTGTAGTAGGTGGTACTATTTGGTCCTGTTTGTTAATGAACTGCGGAGATGAGACTAGCTCGTTCGACTTAGCCTCCGTAGTCGGATGGTGAGTGTCTGTTGGACCTCGTAATCGACTCTTTGATGAAAGAATTTTTCGGAAAACTCTATACATATATGGAAGATGTTACTTTGAAAGGAGGAATTTACTTAGCCATTCGATTCTGCAATCAATCCAGCGAGCGTCAAGATTTTAAACTTCAACTTGACTGACTTTGTCTTTTGTCCTCTAGCAGCTGCCCAACTAACAATTTTAGCTGCAGATTAGCTTATACAGCAAAAAATTGGCTTATACAGCTAATATTTGCCTGTATAAGCTATTCTGCAGCTAAAATTGTTGGGTGCTGCCCTTCTACCATAAATATACCTTTGCATGATAACTGTCCTAGAAAACTGTCTGAACTCATAAATATAATGCATCCTGTGAATGATCAACCACATTCTTATCAAAAATACAATTTAAGATACTCACTTTGCACCACTTTTATCCTTCGCCCCCCCTTAAAGCAGCAGCGGACCCGAACGCGTGGCGCCTCGGCCGGATCGACGAAGCGGACCACGAGACGGCCGTCTAATATTAGGCCTGGCGGTGTGCCCCCTACTACCAAGTGGATCCACTCCGGAGCATCATTCCGCTGGACGTGGATTGGACGCGGCTTGAGGAGCAGAACGGCGGCAACTGAAAAGAGTCGATTTCGTTCCGACAGGGCGGACACACCGGAACCAGGTTTAGGTCTGAGAATAAAACAATAGGATATAGTTTGTAATGTTGCTGCAAAGTTGCGTTTATTTTCCACACTTAGATAGTAGAGTAAAGTTCGAAAAAACTGTGCTTTTAAATTGAGAATAGGATGTAGTTTCGGAATATTGGTGCACCGACGAGCGCAACTTACTCACAGTGAATGTCAGCTTAGTTTCAGCGTTCTGTGTTGTACGGAGGTTTAATGATGTGCAAAACAAATAACTTGGTCCTACTTGAATGTGAAAGCCTTACTAAATAGTGATTTTGAGTTAAACATAAAATCTGCTCCGATCTATTTATTGCTTTTCGTCTGCACCTAGATGGGAAAATACACCTAGTAATTTAACAAATTTCAATCTAACCAGAAATGAAGCTGTTGTTTCTCAATCAAAGGACATTTAGAACGAAACAAAAACATGTAAATAACTGAATTGCAAAAAAACAATTAGAGCAACAAATTGAAACCAAAAAATAAAAACAGAACCCCTATAGGATATTGTTGAAGCAGTAAAACAAAAATAAAAACTCTTGATGTTTGAGGTTATTGTGTACAATACAAACACAACAAAATAGCATTTTAGATTTAGCGAACGACGAACAGGATGAGGATGAGTTTTATTTTCCTAGAAAAGTTGAACCTGACTACAATGAAAGCGAAACTCTACATCATATATCGATATGGGATTGTGTTTGATGTGAACCATTTTAGTCGTCGAATGAACAAAAACACACACTCTTAGTACGTACTACTAAACGCAGTAAACTAAAGAATAATGTTAGGACAAAGTGTAGTGTGATAGTATGGCAAACAATGAACTTGTTGATAACATTAGATAGGTGACCTAAAAAGAAAACTCTAAACCAACAGAAAAGGAACGATAAAATAAAATAACAAGATCACAACACAAAATTAACTAATAGGATAAAGTTAACTTCCATCAGATAAGAGAAACAGAGAGTGTCTAACTGAGACGTGATCGATAGAGGAAGCAAGCCACGTCGAAAGTCAAACCGTTTGCGGCGTGCGAGAGATGAGCAAGGTTGATTTGATTGAGATTTGACTTTCCAGTTTTTTGGACCGTTGTTGCTGTGTAATGTATAGATAAGTTAATTTAAACTTTGATGTAGAGGAGATAACTTTAAACCGAGCAAGATGCGAAACCCGATAAAAATTTAAATTTAAAACAAACGTGACATAGATGTTAACAGTGGGAATGGAAGCGAAGTTTGGAAGTGAGAAGAAAGATTGAATAGATCGTCCTGATTTAGATAAAAAAAAAGAAGATGAAGAAATGAAATGAGATTGGAATAAAACAGAGTTATTTTAATGAATTTAATTCTAGGGTAGCAGTTTTTTTTCTATCCAGAAATTTGTCCCTCCCGATTGGCTTAATCATCCCTATTCTATATTTCGTTCAAAACGAAATTCTCATACACAAATTTTTATTTGTATGAGAATTTCGTTTCGAACGAAATACAGAATAGGGGTGAATATTTAGAAGAGAAAGAAAACGAGCAAATCCTTATAATTGCTTCGAAATATTGAACATTGTTGCTCTATGTTTCATCCTGTTCTTGTCATTTGCAATCAAACCAAGGGGCAGTCACTCTGCTACATTGTGTTAAACACATCAAATGCATTCTTCGACACCCCTGTAACGATGGGTAACATAGCGTTATTGGTAACCCCACGAGTTGGGATAACGAGTTAAGCTGGTCACACTGTAAGAGCGAATGACAGCTGTTCGGGAAACACGATATGATCGGGGTGTTGGGTTCGGCACTTCGGCAGCAATGCTGAGTTTAGAGTTATTTTATTCTAGTATAGACGATTGTTCGGTACGGACGCTTTCACGGAGCTCTCGGGATTTTAAGGGCCAGCGAGAGAAGGCACAAGTTAGATTTTACAACCCCCAAAATACCCTTCAACCGCTATGAGAACCAATATTTCAAAATTTTGATCTGGTCTGCCTCAAAAATGCAGAGTGTGTTTAAAGGTCATGTTTCGGTCAAAACGTTTTGGCGTTTTTCGAACACTTGTTGTTTGCATCATAAGGAATAAGTGCATCGAAGACACCAAGAGGATTTGATGGAAACTTTTATCACACTTTTTAACAAATGAAATCCAAGATGGCGGCGTCTGATTGTGGAAAATGCTGTACAATACGGCTATTTACGGAATCGGGGTGACGTATGAAGACCGAAAATCAATGTCCGACGCTATCTTGAAATCCAAAAATTTCTCAGCTACCACTTAATCGAATTGGACACAACAACTGGCAAATGAGGTAAGTATTACGGTATTACGTTTCCATAGAACACTTTTCAATATCTTTCGAATTCGAATCAGTTATCCGGCGAGCGCGATTGAATTTCAAGATGGTGTCGGACATCGATTTCTGGCTTCTAGATGTCAACCCGATTCCAAAAAACCCACATTGATCGATATTTGACAGTATTTCACAGTTTTTCTGAACCAAAGCCGCCATCTTGGATTTAAAGACAAACAGCATGAAAACTGATCGAAAGTGGTTCTGTTGATGTTGACGGGGATCTGTTCGAAGAGAAGACATAATGACTTTCAATTGAAAGTGATGGCTGATAGCTTTATCGTCGTTTGACGATTTTCGATTGAAAGTGACTTTGTGGGGCCCTGGTTTAAGATAATCATATGTCAAAAATTATCCAATGTACAGTTTGAAGAGACGGGTACGTGGTTGTTACTTCGGAAATTTGAACTGCCTAACATGATGGTGCTTATTTTCTAAAGGCGGGGCATGGCAAAGGTTAGGTACTCTATTCTGAAATCTGTGAAAGGGAATCTAGTATCATGTAGAACAAAACTTCCAATGTAACACTCATTGATTATGTCATTGAGAAAAATCGTCCAATGTACAACTTGACGTCAAAACTGCCAATCACCGACTTCCTATGAATCTGTCAGATTTTTCAAACGCAAACCAAAAACTCTTTCTACGTCGTCTCACAGTGATCTTGGTCCAAGAAACGTGTGGTGTGCACTGCCAACACTGGACAACAGCACGCACCTGGATACATCCCTGCATCAAAAGCGACCATGTTGATTTTAGTGAGTAAGCTTGGAACAAGGGAGAAATAAACACGTTGTAAAGTCACAAACGTTTTCGGTTTATTCTATCGCGGAATTCTCCTTCCGGTCCCCACATTGGTGACCCCGGCGTGATATCGCGACGCGGAAAACAACGAAAATCGAAAGCCGATCGCTATCGTCGCAGATTCGAAAATGACGGAGGAAAACGCTGCTGTTACCGCTGGAGTTGCAGTCAAACTTCCAGATTTCGGGAAGAATGACCCGTGATTTGGTTCGCGCAGGCCGAAGCACAGTTTGCTCTGGCTAACGTGGTACGGGATCACACCAAGTTCTATCATATCGTCGCGAAAATTGACCAGTCTGTCATATGCCATGTAGCGGACTTGGTCACGACCCCACCGGAGGAAAACAAATACGAAACCCTAGACGAAACCATCAAGCAGCGTTTGATTTCCCGATTCCAAGTGTCAACGCAAGGAAGATTGGAGCGACTTTTGGGCGCTTGCGACCTCGGAGACATGCGTCCTACACATCTTCTGGCGAAAATGTAGGAACTTGCTGCGGACCTGAATGTTACGGATGATTTGCTGAAAATGCTGTTCCTCCAGCGGATGCCACCGAGTGTCAAAGCCGTTCTCGCTGACATATCAGTGATGCTTAAGTCTCCATCGTCACACGTCGCCGCAGCCTCCACCAGCTCCACCGGAACAGATGCCGTCGCCGAGCTTCAAAGCCAAATTGCGGCATTGACAGCAGAAATACGTAACCTCAAATCGTCGAGAGGTACTTCCAGAAGTCGATACACAACGAGATCAAGTCGAGTGACAGACGACGAAATATGCTGGTTCCACTTTGATATGCCGTGAGCCCTGTAAGTAAAATCCAAAAAACTAGAATCTCGTTCGCTCGAAACGGCGTTCATCCAACATGAGATTTCTTAACGATACCGGTTCGGATGTATCGATAATTCCAGCAACAAACAAGGACAGGAGCAAAGGTGCAACACCGTTCGTTTTACACAAAGCGAATGGATCAAGAATTAAAGTGTACGATAAACGATACGTCACAACAGATTTAGGACTACGTCGGCGCTTCACTTGGCCTTTCCTCGGGACAGATGTGGGAGTTGCTATTATCGGTGCTGACTTTCTCCCAACGTTCGGCATATTGGTAGACCTGAAACACCGGCGCCTTATGGATGGTCTAACTAAGCTTTCGTTGACTGGAGGTTTGACTGAGGCATCTGTTCACAGCGTTACAGTAGTTGCTGCAGATCATCCGTTCCGAGAACTTTTGTCAGAATTTAAGGAAGTCACCATACCGACAATGATAAAAACAGCAGTGCAACCCGACGTTACTCATCACATACAGACGAAAGGGCCACCGGTGGCAAACAAGTGTCGTTGAATGGCTCCGGACAAGGTGAGTGCTGCCAAGAAAGAGTTTCAGGTTATGATCGATCTCGGCATTTGTCGTCACTCCAGTAGTGTCAACTTTCTTGGATACGTGGTGAACAAGGATGGAATCCTCCCCTTGCCGGATAGAGTCAAGGCAGTTACAGACTTTCCAATCCCTTCCACCGTGAAATAATTGAGACGATTCCTTGCATTACTGAACTGTTACAAGAGGTTTGTCGCGCACGCGTCTGATCTACAGGCTAATCTCCGAAACCTAATTCCTGGAAATAAAAAGAACGATTGTCGGAAAATAGCTTGGGCCGATAATGCCAGAAAAGCGTTCGATCAATGCAAAATCTCTCTAGCGAAAACCGCACTTTTGTATTATCCCGATTCCTCAAAACCATTGAGTTTACTTATCGATGCATCAAATACTGCAGCAGGCGCTGTGCTACAGCAGTTCAACGGCAGCAACTGGGTTCCACTGGTCTTCTATTCGGAAAAGTTCTCGCCGGCTCAGGTGAAATATTCAACGTTTGGCCGAGAGCTGACAGCGATGAAGATGTCGGTGCAATACTTTCATCATATGCTGGAAGGAAGGAGATTCGTTATTTACACCGAGCACATGCCGTTAACACACGCTTTGGCTTCAAGTCCAAGCATTCGCCTTCCACACGAGGAGCGGTACTTGGGGTTCATCTCGGAATTTTCGAACAATATTTGTCATATCAGCGGACAGTTCAACGTGGTAGAAGGCGCCTTATCCAGAACAGAAACGATTTCTCTTCTCACACCGATTGACTACGACAAAATTGCTGCTGATCAAGTCGCTGACAACGAGTTGCAAGGCTTGCTGGATTCGTCTTCTGCGTTGTAACTGGAATTGCGTCAGACAGCTTTAGCATCAAGACCCCTGTATTCTTTGGTACAAACAACGTAAATTGTTACCTTTTTTGACAAAACCCAGGTAATCATGACGTTTGATTATTGAAAACAATATTAATGAAGAAAAGAGACCAACTGCTGTCATGATTACCTAAGATTTGTCAAATATTGTAAATATTTTCATCGATTGTATCGAAGAATTGTGATGTGTCACAAAACAAAGTAAGACCACATGTTCCACCTCAGCATCGTGACGCGGTTTTTCAACATGTCCATGGTCTGGCTCATTCAGGAGTGCGTTCTTCTCGACGACTTGTAGCGGATCGGTTCGTATGGAAGAACATGAACAAGGATATTAAGTTACTCGTGCAGAACTGCCTACAATGCCAACGTTCCAAGATTGATCTCCACACAGTAGCTCCTCTTCAGAGTATTCCTCTGCCAAACAGCCGTTTTCGACATGTTCATGTGGATATTGTGGGACCGTTGCCACCATCGAATGGCAACCGCTATCTACTAACAATCATCGACCGTTTTTCTCGATGGCCTGAAGCCGTATCACTTCA